ATTGAAATTTATCATAATATTTTACATAAAAAATATTATTATCTTTAAAACTAAAATAAAATATATATAAATATCAACTATTCATAGTAAAAAAAATAAATTATTAAGATTTTGTGTACATAATGTATGCAAAAGTTATATATATACAGGGATCCTATCTTTATATTAAAAACAAATTTTTTTCTCATAAATTAAAAAATTTATTGAAAGAAAATTTAAAAATTAACTTTTAAAGTGACCTTTAAGTAAGTTTTGAAAAAATTACATATTTAAATTTTCTCAAAATTTACTTAAAAACTGTTTTAAAAATTAATTTTTAAATTTTCTCTCAACAAAATTTTGAATTTATAAAAATAATTTCAAAGTAAATGCCTTTTAAGTCTTCCCAAACATCCTCTGCTACTGCATATTTGAATTTTTCTTTTCATTTCTTTACCAATCTCCGTTTATATTTTTAACGAACCAAACTCAGGGCATTAATGCTCCACTGTCAATTCTTCCTCCATTTAATAAATTTTATGGTTAACAACTGAGGTCTCTTCCTTTCATCACTAATTCCATATGCCATACGCATGTACAAGAATTGGGTAACCTGAGCAATGTGGAGGTACTTATTTTGAGTCAGAATGGCCTTAATGGAAACTTGCCAATGCAAGGTATTAAATAATGAACTCCTCCATTCCGATCCCAAGGTTCAATTTAACTACTTTGCCCTTTTGAAAATTTATATTGACACTTCGTACTATTTTTGTTCCTCTATTAATAGGTTTTACAAGATTGGAGATATTAGATTTGAGTTTGAATCAATTCAGTGGGGCCATTCCTCCATCAATTATGGCACTTCATTCTCTAAGGGCATTATCTCTATCTTTTAATATGTTTAATGGCTCATTACCAAATCCCGGTACGTACGAAATTAATTTATTTTTTTTCCTTCTTGCACATGTAATGGCATGATCAAGACTAAGTCTAACACGAGATGCTACATTAACCTATGTTCTGAAGGCTTTACCTGCATCTTAAAAAAATAAATAAATAAAGAAGGGATGCATTCTTTGGGTTTGTCGAAGTGGAATTGTTAATTGTTAAAAATCAAATAATTTCACTTTTGTTCAAAAAAAATTGTTAAAATCCAATATATGTAGGTTTTAAATTTTAACCCATGTCTAGCCCAATTTAACTGAACTCACTACTCAAGACATATTTTATGAGCCTTTGAAAGCCCAAAACAATCAAAAAATAGCAGGGTAGTAAAAGCCTAAATGCCTAACGAAGAAAAGTGTTTTGTACATTGTTTTTAAATTTTTTTTGGTTAATATATTTAAAATTTTATTTTTTAATTAATATTTTGAAAAACTAATTATTGAATTAAAAATTATATTCATATAGATGTATATTGATTTTTAAATTATTATAGTAGGCTTAATTATTTTGTTGGTTACGCAAAATTTAACACTATTAAATATATTTCAATAAATAAAATTTCTTTGATTAAAGAGTTAAATGTTAGATTAATATAAGAATTGGCATAAATAATCTACATAAATAAAATTTTTAATTTAACAATTAGTTTTTAAAAATATTAACTAGAATATGAATTTTTTTACATATTCCTCCAAAAAAATTTTAGAAAGATGGCCTCATACCTAATTGTTGTACTTTTTGACAATTAAACAAACCCGATCAAAACCTTTTCTTTTTTTTGCCCTAGATTGAGGGCATTTGTAATTTGAATGAGAATAAGAAACTAAACAAAAATTGGAAATTCATTGGTAATTTCTGACTAATGCAATTGTGTTCATAGGAATAATTGGAAATATAATTGAGAGATCTTTTAGTAAACTAATGAAACACAAAATTCATTATGGATTTTTAGTAAACAATTTATGTCTTTTATGGCAGGTCTGTGTGAGTTAAAGAGGCTTCAAGAGTTAGATTTGAGCCAAAACAATTTTGAAGGGACATTCCCTCCATGTCTAAACAATCTAACATCTCTTAAACTTCTAGATATTTCAGACAATCTTTTCTCCAAAACTCTTTCCTCAGATTTGATACAAAGCCTCCCATTATCCCTTGAATTCATTGATATTTGTCACAACAATTTCCAAGGCTTATTCTCTTTCAGCTCAATTGGGAATTACTCCAAACTTGAGGTATTCATGCTCACAGGCTACAATGATAGACTACAAGTTGATGCTCAATATCCAAAATGGATTAATTTGTTGTTTCAATTCAAGGCCTTGATACTTTCAGATTTGAGCCTGAACAGTATTCCACAATTTCTCTTTTATCAACAAAAATTGAGAGTAATTGATCTTTCTCACAACAAGTTGAAAGAAAAGTTCCCTATTTGGCTACTACAAAACAATTCAAACCTCAAATTTATGAATCTCAGGAATAATTCTTTTGTTGGTGAACTCTATTTGCCATCATATGAAATTAGAAATATGGTTTGGCTAGATCTCTCAAATAATCATTTTACTGGAAAGTTACTGGAGGATTTTGGGGACAAGCTTCTTGGCTTACAGTATCTTAATTTGTCTCAGAATCAATTTGAAGGTGCTCTCCCAAGTAGTCTTGGTAATATGAGAGATTTGGTCTACTTGGATTTGGCCTTCAATTTTTTCTCAAGAGAAGTCCCTAATGAATTGCTTGTGAGATGTTGCAAGTTGAAGCATTTGAGGTTGTCTTACAATAGATTTAATGGCCAATTTTTCTCATCTAAATTCAACTTGAGCACTTTGTTTCACCTAGAATTGAACAACAACGAATTCACTGGAAGCTTGTTGAATGTGAAGCTTGAGACATTGGAAATATTAGATGTTAGCGACAACTACTTCAAGGGTCCAATTCCTACCTGGGCTAATCAGGTGAGTTGATTAATTTCAATGACGAATAACCTTTTTGAAGGTAGATATATATTCTATTGTTTTGAATTTGATTGGGCTGAATCTAACTAGTAAATAAATACATGGGGACAATATACTAATAATAGCTTTTTTTTGCCATCATATCAGGTAAGTTGGTTGATTTCAATGAGGAATAACTCTTTTGAAGGCCAATTTCCGTGCCAACAACCTATGTCTACATTGTTGCTTTTTCTAGACCTCTCTCATAATTTTCTTTTCGGTCCTCTACCTTCTTGCATTGATTTCACTAGCATAGTTGAGATTCATTTAGAAGGGAACAAGTTCACAGGATTGTTGCAAAATTTTCTTCCCAATTTCTCAAGTAGTCTTTCTGTGTTGAATCTTAGAGAAAACAGCTTGTCTGGTGTCATTCCTGACCTGATTGGTACGTTTATAAATCTAAAGCTTCTTATATTGGGAAAAAATCATTTAAAGGGTTCAATCCCAAAGACATTGTGTTTATTGGAGAATATAAGTATAATGGACCTTTCTAGCAACTCTTTGTCTGGAACAATACCTTCTTGTTTCCAAAATTTAACCTTTGGGGTGATGAAGAATGATGGTGAAACTCTTGTACAAGATCAATTACAGATTTTGAATGAGTTTACTGATGAAAATCACATATATGGACATCTCATAAAGAAGAATTTAGACCTTGTCGTAGATATTATGGCTGTAGGATTGAATGAGATTTATTTAGTTGATAAAAATAGAGGCAGCTCTTATAAGGGTAGTATACTAAATTTCATGTCTACTCTTGACATGTCCTGTAATGATCTGACTGGAGAAATCCCTCAAGAGCTCGAAAAGTTCACACAGATTCGTGCTTTAAACTTATCTCATAATCAATTGACAGGTTCTATTCCAGTCACTTTGTCAAGACTATCAATGATTGAAAGCTTGGACCTTTGCTGCAACAATTTGAGTGGAAATATCCCTCCAGAGTTGACCAACCTAAACTTCTTAGAGATCTTCAATGTGTCATACAACAACTTATCTGGCCAGATTCCAAAGAAAGGACAATTTTCAACATTCGAGGAAAGCAGTTATGAAGGAAACCAATTTCTTTTCGAGCCGTCATTGGAGAAATGCTGCATCACTAATATTAAGACACCACATTTGGAATCATTGGCTTCGAATGTAACTAAAGGGAAATGGTATGAAGTTGACCTCCTTGCTTTTCGTGCATGTTTTTTCCCAACATATGTGATATTCTTTTTGTTGATTGTGTCCCTTCTCTACATCAACCCTCATTGGCTTAAAGTGCCACTTTATTTCATATCAAACATTAACTACCTTTTGAATTTGTCATTCTTCAATAAGTTGAGTTGTTGATGAAGACTTTTAGTAGTCCATCTTATTACTTAGTTCTTGCAACTTTATATACCATGTAGTCAATTTAGTCCTTTAATTGTGACAACACCTAGTTATTGTGTATAAGTTTGGGAATCTAAATTTGAAGAGGGTGTATATTTGAATTTGGAGTTTAAATTCAAATGAAGTGTTTGTTTTTACATGACGAGAGAGCATTTCAATACATGCATTTTGACATCTTTATTTCAAAGGCCTAAGTACATGTATTTATAACTTGAATGTCCTTCTCCAATCCAAGAATTTGAAGGTGTATTTTACAAATTTTTGTTTTTAATAAAGTAAAAAAATATAATAATTAATTAAAATAAAAAAATATAATATTAATAATTAAAGATGTAATAATAACATCACCCCAAAACAAAACCCGAAGTAGAAAATAAAATGGGCAACAAAAGATGAAGGGGGGACGAGTTAACCATTTCTTTGGGTTAGGCCTATGCCATTTGCAAGGAAATTTGTCCTTGGGCTTAGCTGGCTTTAGGACTTTTGCAACTTGTCCAAACCATTTCTTCCATTGGCTTGGGCTAGATTTGTCCTCCATTTTTGTTTTTTGGTAATAAAGGAAATATAAGAAAATAAAAAACACACAAGATCAAGTTTTGGGGTAGCCAACCCTAACAACATCAACTAAACAAAGTAGTTCAACATCTATAGGGCAGTTATACAAGATAACAAAATTTGATGAGGATTACGCATCCTTCTTGACCATGGTATTAGCAAGCATATTACGCTCCCTAAAAACGTGCCTTAGACAAGCACAAGGAATCTTGTTTAGAAGGGCCCTGCAATCAAGAATAAGAGTACTATGAGGGTGGTGAGGATTAGAGGTAGTAGAGATTAGCTAGAAAGCAACATAACAATTAGTTTCAACAATTCTATGATTGAAGTGCAAGTTGAGAGCCATCTGGATTCCATCTCTAATGGCCCATAATTCAACTACTAATGTAGTGGTGAATTCAATATTTTGAGTAAACCCAAGAACCCATTGGCCTTACGAATCTTGAAATAGTCCTCCACAGCCGCCTAACCCCAAATTCCTTGTCATCGACCCATCCGTATTAAGTTTAATCCAATCTAGTGAGGGGTTCCCATGCAATCAAGAGAGGTTGTTTCATTTTACAACTAAAAGGGGGTGGCTAGGATGTGCAAAACTCAACCACATGCTCCACAACCAACTCAAATAAAACATAAACATTCACTTGAGTGCCCTAGTGAAGAATATGATTTCTTTGATTCCATATCATCCATATAGTAAAACAAAAAACAACAACTCAAGGCAAACAACGGATGGTACTAGGGGTCATGCTAGTAGCCTGCCATTTAAGCCAGCCAACCTTTAAAGTTAATTATGACATGATCCCTGTCAAGAATTTCAGGGATGAGCATTTTGAGCACAACAACATAAGAGAGGCAACCTCGGAATATGTGGTTTAATGACTCAACATGACCATAGCAAATCCTACAAATAGGATCATGAACAATAACAAGAGAATGGAGAAATTCCATAGATTTAATTCTGCCATGATAAAGAAGCCAAATAAAATTGCAAATTTTTTGTAGTGTAGGAGATTTCCAAATCCACCCCCAATCACTAGATAAACAAGTAGGTTCCCAATTAAGAGTCCTAAGTGCAAAAGCAAAAGAAAAAAGTCCATTGGCCTCCCATTTCCAAGAAAAAGTATCAAGTGATCAGTAATAAAAAGAGGAGTAACCTTAAGGGTGTTAACAGTATTCAAATCCAAGTGATACCTAATAGCATCCATATCCACAAGACCCTCATGAACAACTAGAGCAACAGTAATAGAAGTAGTGCTAGGAATGAATGGACCAAAAAATATGGAATCAAGAGGGGCATGGCCAATCCAATGATCTGACCAGAATAAAATAGATTAGCCATCCCGAAGAGTCCATTTGATACCCTCCTTAAATAGGTTAACTCCTTTAGATAGGTTTTTAATCATCAGGGATCCAAAAGTAGAAAAAGGAGATTTAGGACTAGAAATTTTATATTTCTACACCAAGACTTCTTTCCAAACTTTCCCTTTTTCTGTATGAAGTCTGCAATTAAGCTTCATCTTAGCTACAAGATTTGCATCTTTAGCATTGCGTAGCCCCAAACCCCCATGATCTCGAAGTTTGCAAATAGTATCCCAATTGATTAAGTGGATTTTCTTTTATACATCAATAGAACCCTAGATAACATTTTTGGAGAAGTGATCTATTTCCTTTTGGACAGAAGACAAAAACCACATAACTTTGCATGTAAAAATTGGGAATAAAAGCAAGCATGAAGGAAACCAAAGTAGTCTTACCAGTAATAAAAAAAAAAAATTGGACTTCCATCCAGAGAGTTTAGTTTAGATTTTATCCAAGATAAAACTATATATTTAGATCAACATTTCTAGAAAGCAAAATTCTAGATTTCTCCTTATTGATTTTTTGACTAGAACGTTCACAAAAGAAATCAAGGACATTGTTCAAGTACTGACAGTTTTCCCTGGAAGCTTTACATACAAAAATCAAATAGTCAGTAAAAAATAAATGAGATAAAGTAGGGTTGCTTTTTCCTACTTTGGTACCTTTCCATATACCAGAAGAGATATCAATAAAAAGTTTAATTGGAAGATACTTCATACACAAGATGAAGATGTAAGGGGAGATAGGATCCCTTTGATGGATGCCACTAAAAGGGGTAAAAGACTTAGTCTTATCTCCATTGACAAAGATAGAGATTTTAGTAGAGGAGACACAACTCATAATAAGAGAGATGATTTTAGCAGGCAATTTGAAGAATAGAAAGTCTCCCTAATAAAACTCTATTCCAATTGATCAGAGGCTTTTTCAAGGTCAAGTTTGGTAATCATATCACCGCTTTGACTTGTTTTCTTAGAAAGGGAATACACTAGTTCTTGCAAGATGATCACATTATGAATCCCTCTCTTGCTCAGAATAAAGCTTGCTTGGCAAGGAGAAATCAAGGTGTCAAGAAGAGATTTCATCCTATTAACTAACATTTTGGAGATAACCTTATAAGTTGTATTACACAACCTAATAGGATGAAACTTATAAACTATCTCAGGACTTTTAGTTTTAGGGATAAGGGATATGAGACAATCATTCCAATCCACTAAAATAAAACCCGAGGAGAATGCTTGGATGATATTAGTACAAATAATTCCCTTAACTGACTCCCACATTTTTTGAAAGAAAGGATGATATAGACCATCAAGGCCAGGAGCTTTAAATGCTTTAAGACAAAAAAAAAAAAAAAGAGCAGATTTGATCTCCCAAAAATCTAAGATACCCTCTAAACAAGAAAGATCAAGAGAATCAAAAGGATTCACACCGAGATTGGCAAAGGAATCATGAAAGGATTGGTCAAGCGAGGACGAGAACAGGTGCATAAAGTGATTCCTAATCGAATTAGCAACAACTTGAGGGTCAATGATCCATTCCTTATCAGAGATATTCAGACAGTGGATGCAATTATGGTTCCAATGTTTGATAGTAGAGAGATGCAAGAATTTCAAATTCTTGTTGCCATCTACAATCTAATTGCACCGCAATTTCATAAACCACAAGTCTTCTTCCCTCTTCAAAATAACTTGGTATTCTTTAACCAATTGTTTCTTAAAATCAACAAGAAATCTAGAATGATGATTAGAGAGAGCCCATTGAATACCTTGGAGCCTCGCATTGATCTCCCTTTTCTTGTAGAAAAAGTTGTCAAAGGTGACTTTACTCCAAGTCCTACAGATATTTTGAGTAAAGTTAATGCATTGGGAAGTACTTGAATTAGGTTGGGATCAAATAGGATTTATAACATTCTGAAAATCATGGTGATCCAGACAAAATTTCTTAAGTTTAAAAGGTCTATCTCTAATCCTAGAGATATGAGAATAAAAATGCAGAAGCAAAGGATTGTGATCAGAGATGATATGTGGAAGATGAAGGATATTAGTTTCAGAGAACAAGGTGCACCATCTAGGTTAAACCAAGCATCATCTAATCATTCTCGAATAAGTTGAATATTCCTCCTCATGGTAACCCAAGTAAAGCTACCTCCTGTGTAACCAAGATCAATTAGGTTACACTCATTCATATATCTTGTATACGCTTTGACCCTTAGTTAGCTAACCTCCAAACTTTTCAATTTGGTCAATAACACCATTAAAATCTCTAATCACTAGCTAAGGACTTTCAAAATGGCATGCCACCACTAAGAGTTCATCCCATAGTTGGGTGTGGATCTCAAATTGGGGCCTACCATACACACCAGAAAGAAACCAATAAAACTTAGATAAAATAGGGTGAGAACATACCTTGACAATGGAATGGACTGCTTGAGGAATAGATGTAATAACATCCACATAAACAACCATAGCTGCATCTACATCATTCCATAACAACCATAGTCCCCCTGCATGCCCATCAGAGTTAACATGTGACTGAGAAAACCCCCAATTAGCTGCTGCCTCTCTAGCTACATTACCAATCATTTTTGTTTATAAAATAAGCATCATGGAAGGAGAATGTTGTTTTTTCATATCCATAAGACATCGATGAAAATCAAGTTTAGTCGTCCCCTATCAATTTCAAGAGATCATCTTTATAGGCCAATAGAAAGTATTAGTTAGACCCATAGCCATCTTAGCTAGCTCCTAGTTGAACAACAGCTCTTGTATTTCCTTGTGTCTTAGCATTAATATCGCTTCCGAGAAGTGGTAAGGGAAAAGAAGACATTCATGATCCAATTCCTCCTCCATCTCCAACACAGTTGAGGATTTAATGATGACATGAATCTTCTCCATTTTGCCTACCATTTCCATGACTAGCATGTATGGGTACCACACTAGGGACTAGACCTTCAGACATTGGATAGGGCCCTTTGTCTCATTAGCGCTTGCTTCTTCGTCGAGGGATCCTAACTTTAGAAGACTGAATTAATCTATTAAAACTATCTGATCTATCGTCGAAAGGGGTATTAAGTTGAGAAAAGGTGTTGGGTCGATCGATTTGAGGGTCAAGAAGGGATTATGCCATGCCTTGAACAGTTCCTCCCTTTTCCACAATGGATTCATGTGCTCCTCTTATGATAATAGAAGATCCAAAGCTTCCCCCATTGAAATCATGTTGTTGTCCTTCATAAGAAGAACCTATAGATTGGGGCTGAGTTGAATAATTGGATGTGGGTCCATTAAGGCAGTCTGTGGATTTAGGATCAAATGGCTTCGGAGCACTAGTAATAGGATCGCTAACCGAAGTGCTCTTTGCACTCTGTTCTAAATTTTTTATTCTTTCCTTCATAGATAAAAGGGATTCTTCTAGAGAGTGTAAGGAGCCTATGATCTGGTTTCTAAGCCTAACCGAATTGGATTCCTCTCCAATGGATGAACTGAATAAAAAAGCATTCTCTTTAGTATCTTTCTAGATTGTCTCTTCAGCCCAATAAACCACATTTTTTCCTTTATCTAATTTTTGAGTCCCAATAGAAGTCTTCAGGTTCAAGCCCAATTTCAACTAGTTATCATCATTAACGATCTTGGAGCCATCTGATGGACTACTTGATTTAAGATTTGTATCAGCATTAAATGCTCTTGCCATTTATCATTGGGCTTATTGTTTCTGCTACCATGGACCAATTGGTTAGATGAACCAACTCGTGGTTGTGAACCAGATTGGGTCTTCCTATATTTTGTTCTATGGGTTGCCAGCTCTGATGAAGTTTCCAATAGTTGTTTCTATATTTTATTATTCTTTTTTCGCTCAACAATAAGCCAAAGGTGGAACTCATCCCGTGTATCTTGTGAAGTATTCAAATTCTCACTTTGCATATTTAGATTTTGTTGGATTTGTGGCTTCTTAATGACTCCCCCAATTATAGAGTTTGTTGGAGCAATGGTGTCAATAGTGCTCACAGGAAGGTTACCATTAATAGGTTGGCTATTTTAAGAGGTACCATTAATTTCACAATCAATAATAGTGGGCCCTTGTCTATAAATACAGTCAAATTTGTAGTGGTTTATCCGACCACACCAGAAGCAGAGGCCTTCAATGCCTTCATAAACACCTTCTGTCAGTCTTTCCAATTTGGAAAATTTTAACTAGTGGCTTATTAAGATCTACTTGAACACAAACACGAGCATACTAACCCCATGTATGATAGGCCGTATAGGTATCAACCCGAAGGAGGTTTCCAATTGCATTTACGATTTGATGCAAGGAGGTCTCATCATAGTGCTCTGAGGGCAAACTTGGCAATCGTGCCCAAACCATAGTGTGGGAGAAAATAGTGTTTTCTGGTTAGAAGTTGGGTTCCCATGGCCTAATTGTAAGGTAGAATTTGCTGACAAACTAGGCCCCTCCATCAATGACTTTATTTAGATGCTCTTGATCCTAGAAACGAAAAAGAAAAAAATCAGACCCTAAGTCAATACATTCCCACTTACCGGAAGGTTTCCATTGTGCCCTTATGCTCGAATAGAGGAAATTATAGCCCACAGTTTTGCCAAAGGTCTTGATGATCAGAAGGCTTTTCCATGAAGTGCGCATACACCTTTTTTCCTCTTTCAAAAAGAGAACAATAGGTGCTAGATCATCACATCAAACTCCTCATCAAGCTAATTTAGGGAAGCTTCAAAGGAAAGGTCACCATCAAGGCCATTAGGATTGCCTGCAACCAACAGCATATCTCTGTAAGGGAACATATTGGAGGTCGCCTCCATCATCACTTTTTCTTTTGTAGACGGATCGATAGCAGTGGTTTGATGTTTGATCTTTTTCACACTACAATCAAGAAGGTCAGCTTCTTGAGAAGAAGATGGAAACTTTAGAGAGAGAAAAGTAGAAGACATCTCGCTTCTTCTTCTGAAGAAAAAAAAAATTACTCTAGATCTGTCCTGCATTTTGTTCCTGTGTAAATGTGTCTTTGATGCAACCTCTAATTTTCACATCTTCATCTGGTTTAAGGTTAAAAATGATATGAAATCACCAAATCTTGAAGCTCATCTCCACTTTCTGACCTCAAAGATTTGCGAGCAACATGCAAGGTGTTACATCTCTTCCAACCCTCTATGGACCATTCCAGAATCATCACCTTCCCAAATGGCGAACGTGATTATGATTTGGATCAAGTTTGTGAAATTCTCAAGAAAGAGTATTCATCGGATGATAAAGTTGTTGAAGCGCTAAATGGGTGTGAGGTAAGCGTGTCAAACAACTTAATAAAGAAGGTTTTGAAAAGATTTGATAATGACTGGATTCCAGCTTTTGGGGTTTTCACCTGGGCAAAATCACAAACAGGTTATGAGCATCCCCCTGAGGTGTTTAACACCATGGTTGATATATTAGGAAAGGCAAAAAAGTTTGATTTGATGTGGGATTTAGTTAAGGAAATGTAGCAATTTAAGGGGTATGTTACATTGGCTACCATGAGAAAGGTTATGGGGAGGTTAGTTAAAGCTACGAGGTACAATGATGCTATTGCAGCTTATAGAGAAATTTGGTGTTAGCCGAGATGGAGAGGCAATTGCTGTGTTAATGGCTACTTTGGTTAAGGGGAATGCCTTACACAGTGTTGATCATGCTTATCAAGTGTTTATTGAGTTCAAGGAACTTATACATGTTGGATAAGTCTTTAGATTTTTCCTAGTATTTAGCCATTTCCTTGTACATGTCTTTGTGTTTCCTAGTTATTAAGAAGAAGTAGTTTAACGTGTTTTAGTTTTCAGCATAGTGGTTGCTATTTTGTAGCTTTGTTGGTTAGCACTTTGACTATTTATGGGCCATTTGATTGTTAACTTGTATTATTATCTGAAATATATTTCTTCTTATTCATTTCTTTTATAGAGCATCTTGTGATCCTTACATCTCAAATTGCGTAGTTTTCCTTCATTATTTATTGTGCTCACCAACTATTTGTTAAAATTCCTGAAAGAGTATTCCATTATTTGGCCCCTTTTATTCAACATTTGGTATCAGAGCTTGGTTTGTTAAGAGATTGAAGGCAACAGCAACAACAGCAAAGATGGCCTCTAAAACTTTTGTGCAGCCAGCAATTCCTCGCTTTGATGGTCACTATGATCATTGGAGCATGCTGATGGAGAATTTCTTGAGGTCCAAAGAGTATTGGAATGTTGTTGAATTTGGGGTAGCAGAACCAACCACTGGGATGTCAGAAGCTCAGAAGGTAAAATTGGAGGCTTTAAAATTGAAGGATCTCAAAGCCAAAAATTATCTCTTTTAGGCAATTGACCGGACAATCTTGGAGACTATTCTTTGCAAAGATACCTCCAAGCAAATTTGGGATTCAATGAAGAAAAAGTACTAGGGAAACCACAAAGATAAAGAGGCAGCAGCTTCAAGCACTTCGTTCGAAGTTTGAAATACTTTGAATGAAAAAGGGTGAGACTGTTACTGACTATTTTTCTAGGACAATGGCAATTGTCAACAAGTTGAGGACCCATGGTGATAAGACACAAGATGTTACTGTTGTTGAGAAGATACTTTGTTCAATGACACCAAAATATAATGTTGTTGTCTGTGTTATTGAGGAGGCAAATGATCTTGATGAAATGTCACTTGATGAACTTAAAAGTTCCTTGCTGGTACATGAAAGGAAGCTAAATCGCCAAGATAAGGAAGAATTAGCATTGAAGGTATCAACTGATCACTATTCTTCAACACCACATAAAGCTAACAAAGGTAGAGGTAGAGGAAATATGGATCGAAGGAGCCATCAAACTCAATCTTATGATTCCCAAGGGAAAGGAAGGGGATGTGGCAAATTTCACTCAGCAATTTACAAGCCAAAGTCTGTAGACAAGTCTACTGTTCAGTGCTATCGATGCCATAGGTATAGACATTACAAATCTGAATGTCAAGCTAATCTGCTTAAGAAGGATGGAGAAAAGTCTCATTTTGCAAAAACTGAGGAAGAAATATCTTTGTTGATGGTCTGTCATGCAAGGGAAGAAACTAACAAGAATTTGTGATATCTCGACACTGGCTGCAGCAACCATATGTGTGGAGATAAGTCTGTTTTCTCCACTTTAGATGAATCATTCCAAGATATCGTGAAATTTAGAGATAACTCAAAAATCTAATCATGGGAAAAGGGCAGCTAAACATTTGAACTAGAGATTGTGCTACTCAAACTATTTCAAATGTTCTTTATGTGCCAGAATTGAAGACAAATTTGCTAAGTATTGGTCAATTACAAGAGAGAGGCTACGAAATTGTCATAAAAAATGGAGTATGATGAATTCATGACAATAATCTAGGCTTAATTGCTCACGCTACAATGACTCCAAACAGGATGTTTCTACTCCATCTCAAAACTCCTGGTCAAACATGCTTCTCAACAAGATTAAATGATGTGGCTTGGCCATGGCATTTTCGCTATGGTCACTTGAATTTTGGAGGCTTAAAGACACTTCAGCAGAGAACCATGGTCATTGGGCTTCCAGAGTTTAATAGTCCTTCTGATGTTTGTGAAGAATGTGTGGTTAGCAAACAGCATTGAAATCCTTTCCCAAGAGGAAAATCATTGAGAGCCAGGAAGCCACTAGAAATTGTGCACTCTGACATTTGCAGGCCAATAAATCCTGCATCAAATGGAGGGAAGAGGTATTTCATAACCTTTCTTGATGATTTCAGTCAAAAAATTGGGTCTATTTTTTGCAACATAAATCTGAAGCTTTTGTAGCTTTTAAAAGCTATAAAGTGCTTGTTGAGAAAGAAGCTGGCAGTCCAATCAAAGTTCTTCACACTGATTGTGGAGGAGAATATTGTTCAAATGAATTCGCAAAATTTTGTGACAATTAGGGGATTAAGCGACAAATTACAGCAGCTTATACACCTCAACAAAATGGTGTGTGTGAGAGGAAGAATCGCACTATTTTGGACATGGTACGGAGTCTTTTGACAAGGAGTTGCATTCCAAAAAATTTCTGGCCAGAGGCAATCAACTGGAGCATCCATATTTTGAATAGAAGTCCCACATTTGTTGTTAAGGACATGACACCAAAGGAAGCTTGGAGTGAACGCAAACCAACAGTGGATCATTTTAGAATTTATGGGTGTGTTGCTTATGCCCATGTTCCAGATCAGAAGAGGAAAAAGCTGGACAACAAGGGAGAAAAATGCATCTTTCTTGGTGTTAGTGATCCACCAAAAGCCTATAAGCTTTATAATCCAAGCACCAAGAAAATTGTAATTAGCAGGGATGTTGTTTTTGATGAAGAACAGATTTGGCCAGGGAGTAAAAATGGTACTAGTAAGTGTATTTCGGTAGATTTTGATGGTGGTGATGATGAAGAAAAACAACAATCAATTGAGAATGTGCAGCAGCAACTGGATATGGATGAGCAACAACAATCCGAAATGAATGAGCAACAATCAGCATCCACTTCAAATGCTCTAGAAGATGCTCAATCTCCAACAGCAGCCAAAGAGGATGAACAGAGGCCACAACGGGTTAGAAAGAGGCCAGCATGGATGACTGATTATGAGGTAGCTAGAATAGACCATTCCAAGGACACACTTACTCATTTTGCTCTATTTTTCGACTGTGATCCTCCAGTTTTTGAAGAGGCTACCAAAGAATCCAAATGGCAGGAGGCAATGGATGAAGAAATTGCAACCATTGAAAGAAACAATACTTGGGAGTTAACTGAACTTCCAAAAGGGTAGAAGGCTATTGGAGTAAAATGGGTCGACAAGACAAAGTTGAAGGAGAATGGTCAGATTGAAAAATTCAAAGCCCGCCTAGTTGCCAAAGGTTACAAGCAAGAATTTGGTATCGATTATAAAGAAGTTTATGCACTAGTTGCAAGGCATGATACGATTTGCTTGGTAATTGCTTTGGTAGCACATAATTCATGGCCATTCTATCAATTGGACGTTAAATCAGCCTTCTTGCATGGAGACTTGGATGAGGAGGTATTTATTCATCAACCCCCTGGTTATGTTAAGGCTGGAAATGAGCATAAAGTGTATAAATTAAAAAGGGCATTATATGGACTAAAACAAGCCCCACGGGCTTGGTATAGTCGTATTGAATCTTATTTTCTAAGGGAAGGTTTTGAAAAATGTCCTTATGAACATACACTTTTCATAAAATCAGAAGATGGGAAGATGCTTATTGTCTGCTTGTATGTAGATGACTTAATCTACATTAGAAATGATATGGTTATGTTTGATAAGTTTAAGAAGTCTATGATGGCTAAATTTGAGATGTCAGATCTTAGATTGATGCATTATTATCTTGGCATAGAGGTGAATCAATCTGCAGTAGGTATTTTTTATTTCTCGGAAGAAGTATGTTCAAGACATCTTAGACAGGTTTTGAATGAAGAATTGTAATCCTGTCAGCACACCAATTGAGCCAGGTTTGAAGCTTGTCAAGAATCCTGGGGGAAAGGAAATTAACAACACTTTGTACAAACAAATTGTGGGAAGCTTGATGTATTTGACTGCAACAAGGCCAGATATCATGCATGCTATAAGTCTTATCAGTAGATACATGGACTGTCCAAAAGAAGTTCATCTCTTGGTAGCAAAAAGAATTCTTAGGTACTTACAAGGTACAGCTGAGTATGGTTTATTCTATAAAAATGGAGAAAAGTCAAAGTTTTTCGAGTTCACAAATGGTGATTTTGTAAGAGATCTTGATGATAGAAAAAGTACATCTGGTTATGTTTTCATCATGGGAACAACAGCAATTTCATGGACATCTAGAAAGCAATCAATTGTGACTCTTTCAACTACTAAAGCTGAATTTGTTGCAGCAACAACATGTGCTTGTCAAGCAATTTGGTTGAGGAAAGTTCTTGAAGAATTGCAGGTCAAACAAGAAGGTCTTATGCTTATTTTTTGTGATAATAGTTCAACAATCAAACTTTTAAAGAATCCTGTTTTGCATGGAAGGTCTAAGCATATGGATGTGAAATTTCATTTTTTGAGGGATCTCACAAATGAAGGAGTCATTGATTTGATCTACTGCAGGACTAAAGATCAAATAGCAGACAATTTTTACAAAGCCTCTCAAGTTATCAGCATTTAGGAGACAAAGGGGGTTGCTCGGTGTTTGTACTTTTGACAACCATTAAACTGACCATTTGCTAATGTTCAGTTCAGGGGAGGGTTTGTTGGATAAGTGTTTAGATTTTTCTTAGTATTTAGCCATTTCCTTGTACGTGTCTTTGTGTTTCCTAGTCATTAGGAAGTAGTTTAACATGTTTTAATTTTCAGCATAGTGGTTGCTATTTTGTAGCTTTGTTGGTTGGCACCTTGACTATTTATGGGCCATTTGATTGTTAACTTGTATTATTATCTGAAATATATTTCTTCTTATTCATTTCTTTTACAGAGCATCTTGTGATCTTTACTTCTCAAATTGCTTAGTTTTCCTTCATTATTTATTGTGCTCACCAATTGTTTGTTAAAATTCCTAAGAGAGTATTCCATTATTTGGCCCCTTTTATTCAACAATACCTCTGATTTCAATTTGTTTCGATATCTTGATAAATGGTTTTTGCAAAGCTAAGAAGCTAGAAGATGCTAAGAATATTATGGATGAGATGGAGAAACATGGGTATCAACCCAATGTTGCTTCTTATACCAGCTTTATTGAGGCTTACTATCGTGAAAAGGATCTTAGCAAAGTTGATGCTGTATTGGATGAAATGCAAGAGAAGGGTTGCAAGCCAAATATAGTGACTTACACCCTCGTTATGATAGCTCAATGTGAGTAAGGTGAGATTACTCAAGCATTGGAGGTTTATGAGAAGATTAAGAGTGATGGTTGTTTACCGAACAATTCATTTTATAGTTTATTGATTTCCATCCTGAGCAAGGCAGATAGACTTCATGGTGCACGTAAAATATTTGAGAACATGGAAAGGCATAATATAAAGCCAAATGTATGGACATATAATGCCATGATTTCTTATGCTTGTGCACATTCGAGAGAAGAGGAGGCATTGAAATGGCTACAGAAAATGGAAGAGGATTCATGCAAGCCAGATCGTCTTACTTGCTCACCATTGCTTCATTTGTGCTTCAGGAAGAATAGGATGAAGGTGCTGAACTTTCTGTTAAACCACACGTTTAAGAATGACCTAAGTATTGATCTTGGAATATATGCTCTTCTGGTGAGTGGATTTTGTAAGAGTGGGAAACCTGAGCTGGCTTGCTCATACTTAAAGGAAATGGTGCTTAAGGGAATGGTCCCCTATCAGTCAATATACAAAGTGCTGGTAATGGAACTTGATGAAAGGAACGTGGTTGAAACAGAGCAATGGATTGAAAATTTGATGGTCCAGGCAGAAGAGGGGAAGCAGAGCGTCCTGGGTGTATAAAGATAAATGCTCGTGTTAAATTATCTTCTGCATTTCATTTAGAATTCAATGCATCTGAAAGGAAGGTTTATTCCATTTTTATTTATTTGGGAACATAATTGTTCCCAAGAACTCTAAAATTGAATACATATATAAAAAGAATTTCGCAGTTCCATCCCACTCCTTCCTTGTGCCTTTCTCTTGTAGGCGTCATTGGAGAATAGAGAATGCAAGCTAGAGCGTGTAGATAACTTTCTTGCGCTTGGCTTCGACCCACAGCATAGTCTCTCTAGGAAATCTTCAATTAACCTACAGAGTCATTTCACCTTTATAAGGCATCAATACGGAGGAAAATGCAGTAGAAAGGAACAAAACAACATGCTAAACGTTACCTTTTGCGAAGATGCCAGCTTGTGGTCAGGGAAAACCTTCAAACGGGAAACCCAACCAAATCTAGAGGTCCAGCACCTTCAGTTGTCCCAAAGAAAAGATGAGGTTTTAGTAGGTTCTAGGTTTTATTGAGTTGTAAGAAACATTACACAGAATCACAACCAGAGTTAGAAGTGAACCCATGAACCACAACAACTCAGGGAAGATGGGATCAACAAAAGCATCATGCATTGGATCTGACTGCCAGAGTTTAGCTATGCGATGAGAAGCTGTGATGCGCTGATGGGCTTCTTCAATAAGCCAGATGGTGGCTTCAGCTTTACGAGGATGAAAGATGATATCCAGAGGCGTGTCTTCATCCTCACTTCCAAATCTCAATTGGTCCCACTGTTTTAGGAGAACATTGGCGAGGTAATGCAAGGGTTGGCCATATAATTGCTTGATCGATCTACCTAATCCCATCCATGATGTAAATGGAATGACAGCGCCCCACTGTGCTGGGATAGGCACTTCCTTCATATACTCCTGATACAATTCTGCCCTTTTCATCAACATACCTGTTCAAAGAAACTTCAGGCAACATTAACTCGCCCATCTAGGTTGATTTTAAACCCAATATCTAGCACTAGCAAAAGTAAACAAAACAAGAACAATTCTTCAATGAAAGAATACTACTAATTAATTCTAATTCTTTAATTCAGCACATATTACATTGCTAGTGAATACTACATCATTAAGCAGACAAGAACAAGATAGGTAATCTGTTCCTTCAGCCAGTTACAGTAGAAAAAGCCAATTATACAGCTAAAGCACCCATTGCCATTAGTCTTTTTGCTTCCCGTCCTAACAGTTACAATTCTCACAACAACCACCAAACTTCTTGTAGAACTAAAGATGAGATTGTATCTAAAATCCCACGTTATAAAAGGCAACTAATTACCTTGTTAGAAACTATTGCCATTGATACAGTCAAATGTTGCTTTCTTGCTAAGAGCAAGACAGTCAGAGGACATGACCGGAAAGAAAACGAGAAATTTGTAGACTCAACCAAAAGCGAGATGAAACCAATGTCTTGAAAGTACCTTGGGGGGACAATTCTTGGGGTGGTTGCTCAGTAGGCGAATTACTGGTTCCATCATTGTCATCCACCTCTGCTTCTGAAGACGATTCATCAGAAGAGATAAGATCAACCTTATCACTCCACGGCATTACTCTCTTCATGAGTGAAGAAAACGCAGTCCTGAAGTGAACAAAATCCACACATATTTTCAATTCCAAGTTAAATCCCGCACACCCAGAGTAGAGAATGAAACGGGCGCCGAAACAAACAAAAAAATATTTTGTTTTTCTTGTTCTCACCGATACTAGTTGAAATGGAAGAGTCAGAAAGAGGGAAATGAAAATTACTGGTAAAAAGTAAAAAACCCTAGAACTGAACAAAGGAATCCTGCTTTGTGTAAAAATTTTCCATTGGGTTGAGCTGGGTTTTTAGCTACTTGTTTAAAGTCAACTATTTCTTCAGTTGGATTGGGCTAGTCTGGGCCTAAGCCTTTTACAAGTTCTTCCATTGGGTTGGACTGGATTTGTTTGGGAGAGGTGAAACCTATTACTTAAAAATATCATTTTCGTTTGGATAAGCATTATACTTAAATTATGAGAAAACTAAATAAATAGTTGGCATAAAAATAGTATAATTATAAGTATCAAGCTAGATCACATGTATAGGGGTTTAAAATTATTTACTTAAAATGTCTACTTGACTTGTTTAACTAATATACTACATGTGCTTGTATAATTGAAATTTCAACTAGACTTGTATAATTAAATTACTTAATAGGTAATAATTTAATATTCATATAAGAACAATAATTTTTAACAAATAAAATATAAAAAATAAAAATAAAAGTTAGGTCACAAACCCTAACCAAAAATAGCCAAAAACATAAAGCAACAACTCCTTCAAGACTTCAATCATCATGTCATTTCCCTTGCACTCTATTGCCGCCGCAAAAGGAAGTAGAAGCCATGTTTAGGAAGAGGGTGCTGCGAATAGAGCAAGGAATGTGAAATCAAGTAAGGACCTTGCCAAGCCATTTTCCTTATTTTTATTTTCATATCTTTTTGTCTGTTTAAATTTGTTAATTGAAAATAAGTTTTAATCAATTAATAGTTAATTAATAGTCAATTAACAATTAATTAATAGAATTAATAGTCAATTAATAAAATTAATAAAATGTTATAAGAGAGGATTATTTTCTTTAATTTTAATATGTGAAAGATTAAAAGTATCATAATATAAAATAAGAGATTAAAACTTACAAATTTAATAAAATAAAGAGTTAAAAATATATTTTTACCAAAAATTTTAAGTTTATTAAGATAAAAAAATATGTATAGGTTAGGTATGAACACTCTTAGTTTATCGTATTTTAGATACCTGAAATATTCTTTTATATACCCTTATTTAATGGCTCATTTTATATTAAAAAATTTAAGAAAGAAGCTTTCTTTACCGTGTCTGGGAGAACTGCTCAAAACTCAATTTAAAGAAATATTACCTTTTGTTATGATAATTAAAATATTTTTGAAGTTACTGATATTTACGGCCTTAATAGTATCCATGACGGGATCCGGGAACTTCCCATCTAAAAACAAATAGATGGTGTTATAAAAATAA